CCACCCCAAGTCCCCCAGAGATCTCACGGTCACGTGGCTAGCAAGTGGCAGAACCAGGATTCAAACCCAGGAGCCAGCCCATCTCCGTCCATAAGAGCTCGCCGCCTGCCTTGCGAACGTCCCGAGCAGGGGCTAGCATGAATGAGGCAAAGGCCCAGGCGAGGTGCCAGGACTAAGAGATGCTTTGTCATCAGCGTGGCTGGAGCACAGGAGGGGCAGCCAGTAATGACCAGCGGTGCAGAGAAATCCTCTCCAGCCCACGCCTGTGCATCTCAGGGGGTGCAGAGCAGTCTCTCATTGCCTCGCTGGCAGTGTTTTCCATGCCACCAGGCACCCAGCATGTTTCAGCATCACCAGTCTTTTCTACTTGACTCTGCGGTGGGTGGGCATCAAAGGGACACCAAGCAGGGTCCCAGAGCAAGGGACAGAAAACAGAACCACGACCTGGAGAAGAGATCCCGACCAGGGAGGGACACACCAGTGTGTGTGTGTGCGTGTGTGTATGTCTGTGTGTGCACATGGTTCGTACGCATGCCTGTTGTGGAGCCTGGAGGTGTGTTGAGCCAGGGATGCCTCCTGGGACAATGAAGCCAGAACAGGACCCCCGCCACATGTGCCACCTGGCATGTGTCAGTGTGTGTCTGCGCTTTGGGAAGGATGGTCCAGCCACAGACTCCATGATTCTGATGCTCCCTCACTACCCAGCGCATACCCTGACTTGGGCCCTGGATCTGGGTTATTTTACTGCCGAATTCCTAGCGACAAACAAGGTGGCTCTCACCTAGCAGGGTATTTAGTAAAAAGGTTTGTTGAATGAATGAATAACTATGTAAATGAATGTCTGAGGGTGTGACAGAGGGACCCTCCGCAGCCGCAGTCCTCTGGGGATGACTTCCACAGACACCGGGTTCACCAGGACCCCAGGGGGGCCCCACCTTTCGCCCCTCACTCACTTTTATGCCTGGGAGCTGACGGCTCCGTGCACCAGGCCGAAGCACCCGGCACCGGCCTTTCCAGAAACCTCCGCCACCAGATCCGCACGGGCTCTGCCGAGCGGATGGATCTCCGCCGCGAACCAGGGCCACCCACCCCCTCCCGTTCTCCCGTTTTATTTTTCTCACCTGCTCCTCGGCCCACACCTGCGTCTCCCTGGCAGGCACCGAGGCCCGTGTGGATGCCAGACCCCCCCGTCTCTCTAGGCACCTTCCCCGTCCTTGCCGGCTGCCACCCCCGCCCTCTCCCCGGCCTTTATGAGGCCAGGAAAGTGTTCTTCTGCGGGGTCGGTAGCATCTTTAAAAAACGATTTTCTTGCTTCTCGGAAGGGGCTAAATATAGCACAGGCATAAACAGAGAAATAGACATTAAGTCAAAATGCCCTTGTGAGAACCATGCCGGGTGCAAGGAACTCTTTAAGAAGACTTGATGAAGCTCCACCATCCCTGGAACCGACCGCAGCTCCAAGCCGTGGGGGAAAGCAGCCCGGCTTTTTAGGATTATTGAACTGTGCCGTCGGCGGAGCTGCTCAGCGCACAGGTGCGTTAGTGGTTGGTGAGTCCTGGGGACGGTCCCCGCCACCCCTCCGCCCTTCCTGAGGAGGAGCTGGTGCCGTCTTGTCCTGGCCTGTGGGCTTCTCGGCACCCCACCCCCAGACTTCCTGGGCAGCCTTGATCCGGCTCCATCAGAGCTATCATACTGCACCCAAGTCTGGGTGTCTCTTGGCACATCCCCGCTTCCGCAGTCAGGATTGTGGGCTGAGTCGAGCTGGAGTCATCCCCTGCCTCCCCCTGTGCCCCGTCCCGGGGCACAGCCTCCAGCAGGCGCTTCACAGCTCAATGCTGAATGAATTCTGGTGCCTGGTCCCCTCCTGGCATCGAGTTTCAATATTTCCATCTGCTGTGACATCCTGGGATTTTTGTTCCTGGAGAACTTCAGGAAAGGAAGTTTCACCCCACTGTCTCAGGACCCTCTTTGAGGAAGTTCTTCCTTGAGTCTAACCGACTGCTCCTTAAGAGAGAAGGCTGCTGTTGTTTTCACCTGAGAAGTGGCATTTGTTCCTGAACTATTCTCATCAGCGGTCCTAGGTGTAGGTTCCCACCTCCAGGATTTCTGTACCTGGCTGACCGCTGTGGACCACGTGGGCCACACCGACCCTGCTCTTGGCATCTTGGCAAGAGGCCGCTTCATTACCCAGAAAGGCCCGAACACCACCTTTTCCCATGTTGCTGCTGGGTAGCCCTGAGGATTCTGCGAAGATCAGATATCATCTGGTTTTCTGCTGCTCATATGAAACAGTCCACATTCAAGGGCATTCAGGGCTCCCAGCAGTCCCCCCTGTGACCTTTGTGCCAGGATCACCTCACTGGTGCCTGCACTGGTCGGGCTTATTCCAGGCTCCACACCTTCATCTATGCTGTATCCCCTCCTCGGACTGTCCTCTCCCCTTTCATACATCCTCCCTGTATACACACTCACTTATTTATCCTTCCACTGATGCAAAAATATTTAATCAGTGTCTACCTGGTACCAGACCCTCAGCACCAAAATTTGAGAACAAAGTCAGAGCTATACATATTTACCTTCCTAATGCCCCTCCTCTCTGCCAACCCACTGCAAATCAAGAAGGACCTGACCACACCCAGGGAGCCTGGGCAACTGGGCACTCTTAACTGACTGGCTGTTGGCAGGGTGGGAGAGTGAGATCACCACGTCGTTCATTCCTGGAAGCTGCACCTGTGACACCGCTGCTGGACGTGGTGGGCCCAGGGGTCCAATCAGCACAGTGAGCAGCCCTGGGCCAAGCTCGGTGGCACTGAGAGAGGAGGTTATCCCCCCCTCTGTCTGCCGCTCAGCAGAGGCAGCCAGCCTGGCACTCAGGACGCACTTGCACCATGTGGGAGGTGGGCTGGAGGTGCCTTGAGTGGCTGCTAGGAGGGGAAGCAGAGGACTTCAAGAGGAGCACGGTTGGGAGGAGAGAGGAGGTGGGAACTGGGTGAGCAAAGGCCCGGAGCTGGGAAGATGGTTTGATGTAGGGTGGGCTCCGCTCCCCGCAGGACTGGCTGGCTGTCCCCACACAAGTGCAGTGAGGGGTGCCTTGGTTGGAGGGTGGGCGTTCCCATGGAAACCGCCGCATCCCATCTGTGGCCTCAGACAACCTGCCTTGTGCTTCTGGGTCCCTGACACCCCCGCCGAGGTGCCAGGCCAGGATGGCAGAGTTGGTGCTCGTGTCTGGAGAGGAGTTTGGATGACTTACAGACTGGGTGCCCATGGGGAGGTAAGGTGCTATGGGAACCCTGCCTTCTCGCCCAAGCCCCTGGCTCTTGGATTCCAGTTGCCACCCCTTCCTGCTTCCTGGCTGGGTGTAGTTTAGCCTTTCTGAGCTTCAGTATCCTTTTAACCATGTCCTACCTTGTAAACCTGAGGTAGGGACTGAAAGAGGTGTGCCTGCAACCACACAGAGCACCTGTGCTGGTCAGACTCCAGCCATGTGGCCTGTGCCTCGGAGCGCAGGGAAGGAGGACAGCAGGGTTTGTAGCTCCGAGCTGCTGGAGTCAGCAAGCATCTGCCGTGTGTGGTCGGGGCTCTGCCTCTCCCGGCCAGGGTGCTGCCTCTCCCGGGCCGTGCGCTTGCCGGAGGGGTTGGCGACATCACCAAGGAGACACCAGCCATGCCCGCCGTGGGCAGGAGCTGCCGCAGGGGCCCTGGGCTGGGGAGCGGCGGTGGCCCCAGGCCTCCCCGCGAAGCTGCGGGCATCCTGTGGTCGCCCTGGCAGCCCAGTCCTGGAGCCCAAGAGAGAGATGCAGAGCCGCGCCTGACCCCTGGTGGTCATCGGCAGAACTGCAGGATCGGCTCCCAAGCCTGGAGGAGTCGCTGCGCTGGAGGGGCGCCCAGGTCTGCCGAAGCAGTCCATCTTTGGGGAGTTGCTTCTGTAACCTGTAACGGGGGTCCTGTGCTGTTCCCCACCGCGGGGCTGCTGTGGCCTGGGTGGATTCCGCTTCCTTTCTCCAGGTGTCATGAGATTGAATACCACCTGAGGCTTTGATGAGATTGGTCTGGATTTGGAATACAGACCATTGAAAAAGAAACAAAAAGATAGGTTCTCAGAGGCCAAACGCCAACCCCAGCCCCAGGCCACTGGCTTCTGGGAAAACAGACAGATACTGCCTTTCTGCTCTGGCTGGCATGAGGGAAGAGCTGACTTGGGCTATGGAGAGACGGAAGCGTTTAGCCAGAGGGTTCCACCCAGGCCCTCTATTCCCAGGCGGATTAGGACTGACTGTACACAAGGTCCTTCTGGCCAGAGCACCGTCACATGAAGGCACAGGCAGGCTCCCTCTCCAGCCCCTGCGGGGGTAGATCTACCCCCTGCCTCCACCTTAGGCACTGCTGCCGCCCACTGTCTACGCCGCTAGGACGTTTCTTGGCTGCAGAGCTGCATGGCACACGTGCCGTATCCCTCCACCAGGCTCCGAGCATTTCCCCGGAAGGACCGTGGAGGGAATCTGGGGGAAGCCTGCAGGCGATCGGATATAATTTCCTCCTGATCATTAGAGCAAAAGGGAGACGGAGAGGTGAACAGCGATGTTTTCAATTCCCGCTGCCTCCCCAGCCTTTCCCCTCTCCCTCCGGATAGCCAGACCCCGTGGTAAGACCTGAATGGGCTAAAAACAAAAATTCACAGGGAGCCCTGGTTGGCAGCAACAGGAACCCATCCCCAAGCCCCGAATCAACGTGGCGTCTTGGCAGCTGCGTCGCCAGAGCACTTTTTCGTTCTTGCATTTTGTTTTGTCATAATCGAGATGCTTTTCTGTGGCTCTCGGCTTAAATGCACCGAGTGGGAGGGGTCGGGCATGCTCTCCATTCTTCTGCCTTCATGCGTGTCTCCTTTCTTCGCCTTTGCAGAACCACACGATGAGCCAGCATGCACAGTGAGGGACCGCTCGACAGGACTCCTCTCCGCAGAAGGCTTGCCGGAGACGCCGTGGGGAGGGCCATTTGAACATTACATCCAATCAAAGTGTCATTTGCAACCCAGATGTAAAACTCTAATGATTTGGCCATGAGGCGCTGCTATTATAAGCAGCTGGAAATGAATATTAATGGCAGAGATTAAAAGTATTCCATGCTCAGTATTTTTTATTGTCCTGCTACAGCTAGTGTGCTTTTAGAGTTTCCGCCGCAGACTACATTTCTAGAGTTAGAGAAACCCGCTTTTGGAAGCGATTGTCCTTTGTTCCTTCATGTATTATATTGATAGTTTTTTTTAAAAAAAGGATTAGTGTGATTTTTTTTTTCTTCGCTTCTTATTTTTCTTTCTTGTTTTTCTTTCCCCCCCTTCGGTTAACTACTTTTTAATTGCAATTCTAGGTAATTGTGCATCGTGATGTGATTGCTTGGCTATTGTCTGAATATTTCCTTTTAATTTTTTAATTAAAGACTAATGCTTTGATTGGATTTGCCAGTTCACCGGACAGTGATTAAAACTATGTAATGAATATAATCGGTTTCAGTGCAACTGGATGGTCTGCTTTTAAATGTGACTTAATCTGACTGCAGTAACTAGTACAGTTCAATAAAGGGAATCCATGCGATTAGCATCCGCCTGCCTGGTTCTCTCCTCCCCAGCCCAGGGCTGTGTGGGGGCTGTCGTCACCTAGGGGGGGAGTTCCCGTGGGTCACACATGCTTGTGGGGTGTGCTTGGACTCAGCCACTAAGTCATGTCCAAGTCTTTGCAACCCCATGGGCTGTGGCCCATCATGGCTCCTTTGCCCGTGGGATTTCCCAGGCAAGAATACTGAGTGAGTTGCCTTTACCTTCTCCAGGGGATCTTCCTGACCTAGAGATACAACCCAGTCTGCACACATTAGACCCAGCTCCCCTTGAGAAGGAAGAAGCATAGCAATCTAATGCACACAGACTAGATGAGCTAGTAGGGGTCACTGAGGTCAGAGCAGGAAACACCTTTGAATACCCTGGTCATCTCATTTATGCATGGGGAAACTGAGGCCCAAGGATAAGTGAGTGGCTAAGCTGAGTATGTTAGGGTGACTCACATTCATCGCTGCCCCCTGGGTCTGGCTTTCCACAGTGCTCGATGCAGCTGGTTACATGGTTAATCCTTACCTAGCCAGGACTCCAGGCAGAACCTGGATTCTAGCTGTGGCCAAGGCATGGGGATGGGATAGGAGTCAGGGGTGGCTCTACAACCCTATGAGATCCAGAGCTGGGGCTGCAGAGTGGAGCCAGGTAGGAACAGCAGTTTTCCAAACACAGAAATCTGTGGGATGTGGAAGTGCTACCAGTGGCTGCAGCCAGGACTCTACTGGGGCAAGTGAGGTGCCTAGGATGCAAAATCTCAGGGGGGCCCTGCTCTCAGGGGCCCGGACGGTGGGTGTCTCCTGACACTTTGCACCCTTAGGCACCTTGCTTGCCTCACTTCTTGGTCTTGCTGGTACCCCAGGGCTCACAGCACAAGCCTGTCCAGCTTGTGCAGCTTCCCACGAGCCTATCCTCCCATGCCTCCATCATGCTGGTGCTCAGCCAACTTGTCAATCAGAGCCAGGGCTTTGGAACCTGCATGGGGAAGCCCTTGTTAACTTTTCACAAGGGGCAGGAAAATTGGTTATTACCCTCTGCAGAGCGGAAATGAAACAGGCAGGCAGATTGCACCTAATTATAATGGAATACTAAGTCATGGCGTGGAATTTGGAGCCATTATACCCAGCATCTTCTGACTCCCATATTGAGGGGCTTCAGTAGAGTTCCCCTTGCTGTCACCTCATGTAACGTCTGACATGAGTGGGGCTGTTAGTTTTTCTAGAGGTATTGTACGCCTGAGAATCTCAGATCGGTCAGGCTTCTGCCAGTATTGGACAGAATGGAACAGCTGCTTTTTAATTTCAGGGCTTCTACTTCCTGGAAGCCAAACATTGTGAACTCTAGTTTTTAGTCATCTGAAAACTTGACCATTTTAGGGGAAGACCTCAGGGCAGCCATCGGTATTCCCCAGAGTGTGGCCAGCCACAGCCTGGGGCTAGGGTAGGCTTTCCTGAGTCCCTGGCCAAACCTGCCTTTTGGAAAATGATGAGACTGTGGGCAGGATCAGGGTGTCCTCGGGGCTTGCCAGATCACTGTCTCTGGGCCCTCCCAAGTCTGGATTTATCCCGAACCCCATGGAACCCAGGTGAGTCTTCAGTAAGTACCAAAAGAAGATTTGATTTGACGGTTGGTGGCATAGGGCTAAATTAGTCACTGCCCCCATTAAAACTACAGCGGGGGGTTTAAGAGCTTTTCACGCCGTGTGGGAATCAGCAGCGAAGCCAGAGGATGCCTTGGGTAAGGAGAGAGGCAGCCTAGGGGACCGCGAGGTAATGAGGTTTATGGCGATGACAAGGCAGCCAGGGAACCCCACCGACTCCCCCCTCACCCTGGCCCCATTGTTCTCAAGCTGGCTCTGCCCCCGCTGCTTCAAACCCAGTCTGCACACATTAGACCCAGCTCCCCTTGAGAAGGAAGAAGCATAGCAATCTAATGCACACAGACTAGATGAGCTAGTAGGGGTCACTGAGGTCAGAGCAGGAAACACCTTTGAATACCCTGGTCATCTCATTTATGCATGGGGAAACTGAGGCCCAAGGATAAGTGAGTGGCTAAGCCGAGTATGTTAGGGTGACTCACATTCATCGCTGCCCCCTGGGTCTGGCTTTCCACAGTGCTCGATGCAGCTGGTTACATGGTTAATCCTTACCTAGCCAGGACTCCAGGCAGAACCTGGATTCTAGCTGTGGCCAAGGCATGGGGATGGGATAGGAGTCAGGGGTGGCTCTACAACCCTATGAGATCCAGAGCTGGGGCTGCAGAGTGGAGCCAGGTAGGAACAGCAGTTTTCCAAACACAGAAATCTGTGGGATGTGGAAGTGCTACCAGTGGCTGCAGCCAGGACTCTACTGGGGCAAGTGAGGTGCCTAGGATGCAAAATCTCAGGGGGGCCCTGCTCTCAGGGGCCCGGACGGTGGGTGTCTCCTGACACTTTGCACCCTTAGGCACCTTGCTTGCCTCACTTCTTGGTCTTGCTGGTACCCCAGGGCTCGCAGCACAAGCCTGTCCAGCTTGTGCAGCTTCCCACGAGCCTGTCCTCCCATGCCTCCATCATGCTGGTGCTCAGCCAACTTGTCAATCAGAGCCAGGGCTTTGGAACCTGCATGGGGAAGCCCTTGTTAACTTTTCACAAGGGGCAGGAAAATTGGTTATTACCCTCTGCAGAGCGGAAATGAAACAGGCAGGCAGATTGCACCTAATTATAATGGAATACTAAGTCATGGCGTGGAATTTGGAGCCATTATACCCAGCATCTTCTGACTCCCATATTGAGGGGCTTCAGTAGAGTTCCCCTTGCTGTCACCTCATGTAACGTCTGACATGAGTGGGGCTGTTAGTTTTTCTAGAGGTATTGTACGCCTGAGAATCTCAGATCGGTCAGGCTTCTGCCAGTATTGGACAGAATGGAACAGCTGCTTTTTAATTTCAGGGCTTCTACTTCCTGGAAGCCAAACATTGTGAACTCTAGTTTTTAGTCATCTGAAAACTTGACCATTTTAGGGGAAGACCTCAGGGCAGCCATCGGTATTCCCCAAAGTGTGACCAGCCACAGCCTGGGGCTAGGGTAGGCTTTCCTGAGTCCCTGGCCAAACCTGCCTTTTGGAAAATGATGAGACTGTGGGCAGGATCAGGGTGTCCTCGGGGCTTGCCAGATCACTGTCTCTGGGCCCTCCCAAGTCTGGATTTATCCCGAACCCCATGGAACCCAGGTGAGTCTTCAGTAAGTACCAAAAGAAGATTTGATTTGACGGTTGGTGGCATAGGGCTAAATTAGTCACTGCCCCCATTAAAACTACAGCGGGGGGTTTAAGAGCTTTTCACGCCGTGTGGGAATCAGCAGCGAAGCCAGAGGATGCCTTGGGTAAGGAGAGAGGCAGCCTAGGGGACCGCAAGGTAATGAGGTTTATGGCGATGACAAGGCAGCCAGGGAACCCCACCGACTCCCCCCTCACCCTGGCCCCATTGTTCTCAAGCTGGCTCTGCCCCCGCTGCTTCAGCTGAGAGGACCCCTCATGACTGTGCCAGGCGGGGGCTGGTAGGGGGAATGGGGCGGTCCTTGCTGGGAGTGATATTTGTCACCATCGGGCAATGTGGGGTGGGGGTAGTGCAGGGCTCTAAACGTGTGCGTTGGCCCCCACCCTCCCCTACTTTCTTCTAGTCAAATGATTTAAAGCTAGGATGAGCCACCTCACCTCTCAGCTCTGCAGGACCTGGGAGAGCCCTGGGAGGCTCATAGGAAAGGGTGCTACCGAAAAGAAGGGCTGAGTGCAGAGAAAGACCCGGAAGTGGCACGGTTATTGTTAGGAGGACAAAGAAGCCGGACGCAAGGTGCTAGGGGTAAAGGGGTGGATGAGTGATTGACGCTTGCCCTCGAGAAGCTCACACTGGAGGGACCCCTTTCAGCAGAGGCTGTGAGGAATCAGCCGCGAGCATTTTTGGTGCTGGAGTAGGGTGTGACTGGAGAACCGGCGAGGTGACTGGAGGCCTGACTTCACTGGTGCTGGGTTTGCATGGGCAAATCATCAGTCTAGTGGCTCTATGAGCTGGAGAAATTTAGCACAGGCTGAGAAATGGACCAGGACCCCGGGACCACCAATCCCTGCTATTGGGTACCTGCCTTGAGCTTCTGGAAGCAGGTGAATAAAGGTTTTGGTCTCAGTGGAGAAGCCACCATAGGAAGAATCTTCTCAAGTTGCCCCAGTCATAGAGACTGTTCCTTCTAAACTCACAGTATGTTTAATATTGAACTTTCTGCTTGTTTTTTTTTTATTTGCTTCTAAAACATACATTCTTAGGAGTGGGATCTGCAGTTACAAGTGTTCAGTAAATAAGACCAAGACTTTTTTCATTCATTCATCCAGCAGACACTTATGGAGCTGCTCTTGTGCGCCAGACATCACACAAGGTGCTAGGGATAAAGGGATGGATGGGTGATGTGATGCTTGCCCTTGAAAAGCTGACAGTCACATGTCAGTCATTCAGTAAACAAGCATGCCAGTGAAGACCCAGCAGCGCACAGTCACAAGCACTGTGAGGGGAAAGGGCTGGACTGTGTGAGGTCCATGGGAGACCCCTGTTAGAGGCCGGCCTTGCTGAGGAAGCGACATGTTCCGGCCTGAGCAGTGACAGGAACTCAGCCATCCAGGAGCACTGGGAAAAGAGTGCAGTGAATGTAAAAACCCCAAGCTGGAAATGGCAGGAAGTATCCTCAGGGATCTCTGGTCATACCAGGTTTCAATTTCAGATGGATTAAAACAGGCCCACAGAAATTCAGAGTCTTTTCCAAGGTCACACAATTCAACATAGAACTGAGACTATAATTTGGGTGTCTTGCTTTCTAGCCTTGGGTGTCTGACTCCCCTCTGCAACCATTTCTATTTGTTGAAGAGCAATTTGATTGAATAATTATTATTATTATGAATAAAATGACATACTATGTAGGAAAGACTGCTGGCTCTCTTCTTTTTGCTTAATAAATTAACTCTGATTTTTATCTGA